TTTCTGGCATATAACGATATATTCCGGTATAACTGGTATAATTCTGATTGGTCTATATTGTGCTGTACAGTATATGCAATTTTTTATGGGACCTTATAGGGACCTGCAGCAGAATTTTTGTAAGTTGGAAGAATATTTAAAAGTTTCTGTAGTGTAAATAAAGTGTTTAAGGAAGTGAGTCAAATTTGAGAGATTGGGAAGGATATCGTACAGGAAAATCTATTTCTTTGAGTACATTCTTGTGTTTAAATCGTTGATAGGAATTTTTGGCGATTACATTGACGATTTGTTGATCATCGGTTAGTAAATTACTTTTATGTAAAAGAGCTGGAACTCTTGTGTGCGTATTTTTTTTCGCATTTAATTAATTTTCTTTTAAACTTGAGAAGAAAACTTGAATATTCTTTATTTGTTTTACCAAATTTGGCTTATATCCAATTTAAAATTATTTAAAAATCCTCAACAACAGTTAATGTAATATGATTTGAAGAGCACAGGAATAACACAAGAATTGTCACAAAATTAAGATTTTCGGATATTGCAGTTTATAACTTTTATTCTTTTATAGGAACAACGAAAAAATCGTTTGAACAATCTGCTTAATACAAATATTACAAAAATCTCTTATCAGTTAAAAATATACCCAGTAGGTATATGTTTTTTACACTACTTTTTTTTTGTTTGGTTCTACTTGATTTGGTAAGGAATAGTGGTAAAAAAGTTTGCTGCGTTTGGGTTTTCGCAAAAGCGTTTTAGTTTTATAAGATCTAGGTACTTGGCTTCGTTGATTGAAAGATAATCTGAAGCAAAAACTTATGATTAAAATCTGACCTAGGTTAAAAAAGATTAACAAATTCTTACCAGAAATACTCACAGAAGGAAGTCTAAATTCGTTTTCTGTCAATTGAAGGTGTTGTGGTATCTTCTTGTTTGCTTTAGTCATGGGGCTTTGTAGCCAGTGACCATTATAAGAGGTTCGGTAAGTAATTAGGCGACAATTTTCCTTTTTGCAAAAAATCTCTCTTACAGGTTGAATAGCAAATAAAGATTTTGGTGTAAACTTTGGTTGCAAAAACTGGTTCCAGTTTCTTTGTTCAACTTCAATAACTGTAAATGGAAACGGATTCTTTCTTGAATCTCGAATCAACTCGTACCAGTCATCCAGCAACTCTATTCTTGTTTTGAGGTTTATTAATCCCATATTTTTGACACATTCTAAATACGAGTGACCTCGTATGGGAAATGTTATTGGGATGTAATCAAGTCGTTTGACCTGATGTACCATAAAATGCATAAACCTGAACATTGTGAAATTTTTGTTCTGCCCTTCAACAGAATCGCAAAAAATGTGAAAATTTCTAACATCATTATCAAGTTGATTTATTATAAAATCAAAAAGAAAAGAGATCACTTCATTGAATCCTTTCCTTGCAACATATTCAGGATAATAATTTAAAAATGACCTCCCAGAAGCTAATACATGAATGTTAAATAATACATTGACAATACCTGCAATAATATAGTCATTGGTTGTTACGTTGGGTAAGGAAACGTTTTTCTGGAAATCCAACGCAATGGCTGCAAAATCTTGATTGGTCCTAGCTCTAATTTTAGCTTCCTTCTTTCTGTTATAAAACCATTGTGCTTTTCTTTTATGCAATTCGTGCTCTACCTCCAATCGCTTTATTTCTGCCTCGTGGTGCGGTTGCATATTCAATTTATTTCTTTCTGCAGTGAAATTGTCACATACACTAATCGTGTCACTATGTGGATACCCAAAACTTATGTTAAATTTCGTATTAAAAACCATTTTGTATGTTTCATATAAAACTTTTTCATTAGGATACAGTTGATCAAACATTAAGAACATCTTTTCAATGTTAAGGCTTTCTGGTAAGTACAACTTTTTTGACTTTTTAAGGCTGTAATGGGAAAGCCTTTCCTTAAAAGATTTAATATGTTCATAGATTTTATTGTATAAAGCATCAGATAACTTATTACTGAATGCACTGTGTTTGCCTCTCATAGCTTTTGGTGTTACGCCATTTTGTTGAAGACATATTTGTAAATGCTCTAATTTACCTTTAGTGATTCCATGAATGCTAATAAAAGCTTTGCTTTAAATACACACTTCTTTTATATTTCCATTTTTTCTGACCCTTATTGTATAAAATTACTTTGATGGTATGAAGCTGTTCTTTCGGGCAGCCGACTTCTGCGTCTTTCAACTGGAACCACTGATATTAATCTATAAAGGTAGCTATTCTGCTCATCAATGGATGTCATATTGTTAAAATCAGACAATATGCTATTCCGTTCCAAGTCATTCTACATATCAAAACACTTAAGCCGCTTGCAGTGGCATGGTGGGCCCATTTCATGAGAAGAAAGTCTTAACTTCTTCATAACATCTTGTAATCTACCAGTTTTTTGCCTTTTTTCAAACTTATTGCAATATTTTTACTCATTTTTTAAAAACACAATAATCTATAATACTACGAATCTATTACGTTATTAATACACACAAACCTGCTAATACATAGCGGCAAGAATGAACACTACACTAAGCGCGAAACAAACATCATTGGACATGGACATTTCTAGTTTTATTCCGATCGCGCGGGGACATACCCAGTTTTATTCAGGTACGTCAATATTTTTAAAATAAATTGTGTAGACTGTTCCTGTTGTATTCGACAGAGATTCTGTCCAGAGAAAGTTACAATATTTTGGAACAGATTGAGCCAGTAATCTTAATTTCTGTAAAAAGAAATTCCTTGTTTTATTCCTGTGCTCTTCATTTGCTTTTTTATATTTTATAGTCATCAAATTTACAATCTTTAGAGATACAGCCCACGCATTCCCAATTTACGATCTAATCACAACTTCACGTACAAAGAAATTTTTGTAGGTAGCTAATAAATAGTTCCTGCTAGTAAAACTCGACATAATTCATAACTTCCAGCACCCTGGAGATCGAAGACAATAGTGCCAAGAAGCCGATGTCGCTGGATAGGCCCCAAATAATCCCCCATAAATGAACTACTTTGGAACTTCGCTCATTATCAACTATGTGATCGTCTAACACCCGACACGGCGTTCATATTTCCATATTTACCGCCTATATTCACTCTCCGTTTAGTAAATAGGCCATCAGACGGCCTTTGTGTGACGCTTACCATTGGCGTCCACATCCAGAGAGAGCGGGAGAATAGAGGTGTGGGCATATTTTTGGCTAATGCAATAGCAAAGTATGGTTTAGTGTTTAAGAAAAAAGTTTGGAGTGTTTTTATTTTATCTTATTTTAGAGTTATCGATATTGTATATGGCTTCTCGGATAATTCTTGCTTGTTTTATAAAAACCAATAGAACCTTTAATTCTCTCTTTGTCAACCATTTTCCATCCACTCCTGAATGTAGGTCTCTCCCAATTGCTTCCATCTTTCTCTATCTTGCGCCAATCTAATCCACTGTTTACCTGCCACTGCTCTTATGTCATCTACCAATATTTTTTGAGGTCTTCCCATGCTTCTTGTTGTCGTCCTTGGTCTCCATTCTAGAATTTCCGTGTCCACCTGTTGTCATTATATCGGGCTACGTGACCTGCCCAGCGCCATTTCATTTTTGTAATTTCTTCAACAATTTCCCTAGTCTTCGTTCTACGTCTTATCTCGGTGTTTCTAATCTTGTCTCTTAGTGGTATTCGAAGTATGATTCGTTCCTGTTTGCGTTGTTTCTAATTTTTTTAGGCGATTTTTTGGTAAGTCCTACTGTCTCCAAGCCGTAGGTACAAACTGGTAGTATGCATGTGTTATACATCTTTTTCTTACAGTTTACAGGAATGGATATGTTTTTCAAGATATATGCTAGTTTGCTGAAGGCTCCCTATGCCAGTTGTGTTCTTCTTTTAATTTCAGCATCTTGATTTGGTTTTCTTAGATTGATGACATGACCTAGATATATATATATATATATATATATATATATATATATATATATATATATATATATATATATATATATCTTGTCGTTTCCTCATTGCTGAGGATCGTGATTTCCTACAATGCGGGCTGTCAATTCTCTCCATCTCTTGCGATTTTGGGCTGCTCTCATGGACTCGGAAAACGTCTCTCCAGTGGCTTTCTGTACTTGATCTGACCATCGGATAGGTGAGCGTCCTCGGCTTCTACGTCCTTCTACGTTTCCGCACACAATTAGTCTTTCTAAGTTGTCATTGTCTCTTCTCGCAATGTGGCCAAAAAACTTTAAAACATTTGCAAGACACTGAGAGGAGAGTCTGGTCTGAATGTTTAGCTCTTCGAGAATCGACTGATTGGATCTGTGCTCCGTCCACGAGACGCGTAGCATTCGTCGCCAGCACCACATTTCGAATGCGTCAATCCTTTTCCTATCCTCTGATTTTATTGTCCATGTTTCGGCACCGTAACTAAAGATTGAAAAAACGAGTGTCAGTACCAGTCTCATTTTAAGTTTTTTGGACAAAGAGCGGTCCTTCCATATTTTTGACAGTCGACTCATCGCGTTCTTGGCCATTCCTATTCTTCTGCGAATTTCCGTATGGCAGGAGGCTGCATTGCTTAAGGAAGATCCTAGATACGTGAACTCGTCTACTTTTTCGAATTGATTTAGGGCGCCTGTTGTTTGGAGGATATTCGCGTGGTCCACAATCATGATTTTTGTTTGATTATTAATCTTGAGCCCACACTTGTTGCTTTCGGTTTCTACTCTCTTTATCAGTCTCGACATCTCCTCTTCAGATGTAGCTATCAGTGTTGTATCGTCTGCGAATCTTAAGTTTGAGATCTTTTTCCCTGCAATGGAGATGCTGCCTCTCCATCCATCGAGTGCGTTCCTCATTATGTATTCTCCATATAAATTGAACAGGTCTGGAGATAGTATGCAGCCTTGTCGTACACCTCTGCTGGTTTTGAAGGTATCAGATTGCTGGTTTTCAATTCTTATTTTAACTGAGTTATCTTCATATAAGTTTTTAATTAATATTGCCAAATGATCAGGAACTCCTATCTCATGAAGAACTTTCCAGAGAACTTCCCACTTTACACAATCAAATGCCTTTTGGTAGTCTAGAAAACAGATTATTATTGGAATTTTAAATTCGCGGGCCTTTTCTATGAGCTGCCGCATATTAAGGATTTGCTCTCTCGTACCCTTCCCTTTGAGAAAGCCTGCTTGTTCTTGGGGAATTTGGTTGTCTAAGTACTGTTGCAAACGGCGTTTAATGATTCTTAGTAATATTTTGCTTGGATGGGAAATCAGTGAGATGGTACGACAATTACTACACTTTGTAGTTGTTCCTTTTTTATGGCTTGGTATGCACAATGATGTGCGCCATTCTCTGGGCCACTTTCTGCATCTCCAAATTTTATTACAAAGTTTCCACATTATGTAACATCCTTTGTCTCCCATGTTCTGAAGGAGCTCTCCCGTGATATCATCGCAGCCAGGGGATTTATTCTTCTTGAGGTGAGTTACAGCTTCTTCAATCTCGGACAGCAGAATTTCAGGTTCAGGGTTGTATTCAGTGTTTTCGAGGGCTGAAGTGTGGCCTAGATTTACGTGTTCTTCCCTGTAGAGCTCTGCACAATAGTTTTTCCATGTTTCCAACACTCTGTCGATATCACTTATGATAATACCATGTTTGTCCTCTATTGCATAGTTCTTGGGTTTAAATTCTCTCGCAAGAATTTTCACTTTCCGGAAGAGGTCTTTGGTTTCATTTCGATATCTGTGATTTTCTATTTCTTGGCAGATTTCAGAGATGTATTCTTGTTTGTCTTTTCGGCATCTTCGTTGAATATCTCTGGAGAGAGCTTTATATGTCTGTTGATCACAGGGGCCAACTTTAAGTTGCTTTCTTTGTTCAATCACTTTCCACGTGTTTCTACTGATCCATGGTTTAATGCTATTATTTATAGATGGTTGGCGACATTGGTTCACTGTTGTTACGATGGTTTCTTTAATATCTGTCCAGGCTTCATCCACGCTTTCTTCTGACTGATTGTTCCCTATTCTGGTTAGTGCTGGTTTAATTCTCTCTTTAAAGGTAGCTAATTCGGGGTCCGTTAGCCCAAAAGGACGGGGAGAAGCTTTGCGTATGTTCTTGAAACGCATTCTGTAATCTGCCATCAAGAGCTGGTGATCGCTTCCGCATTCTGCTCCTGGAAATGTATTTGCGTTGGTAATTGAAGACTTCCATCTCGAACTGATCAGAATAAAGTCTATTTGATTTCTTGTTCTATCTCCAGGTGATTTCGAGGTATAGAGTCTACGCGGATGATGTTTGAAATGCGTGTTCATTACAGAAAATTTCCTTGGGTTGCAGAATTCTAGTAGTCGGTCTCCTCGCCCATTCCTATCTCCTAGACCATATGGCCCTACAATCATCTTCATGTAGTCATCTAGATTCGTTCTTCCAAGTTTGGCATTAAAGTCGCCTAGTATCACCACTATGTCTTTGTTTGGTATTTTATCAAGTACACCTTCGAGAGCCATATAAAAGTCTTCTAGTGTTGCTTGTTCTAGATATATATATATATATATATATATATATATATATATATAATATTCAAAAAAATGTATGGTATGATTCTGTATTGTTATATTTGTCGGTCTCGGCTTAGTATTTTTGTTTTACTGTAGTTCATTTTTAAGCCTACTGCTCTGAAACTGCATTTAATTGTTGTAACATATCATTTAGTTCTTGGATATTATTGGCTATTAAAACTATGTCATCTGCGAATTTCAATCGGTTTAAGTATGATCCGTCGACGATGATGCCCTGGTTGTTTCATGCTAGTTTCTTAAAAATGTCTTCTAGATCTAGAGCAATGATGTCTCCTTGTCTTATTCCCCGTTGTAGTCTTACGGGGTTAATTTTTGCGTTTTCGTCTAGCTTTATGTGCATGGTGGCATTTTCATATATGTTTTTAATTATATTCAAGCACTGTCCATAATTCTATGGAATCGAATGCTTTATGGAAAATCGACGAACGCCATTTAAATTGAAACATCATACTCGGTGCATTTTTTTATTAGTGTTCTTACGGTGTGCAAGTGGTCTATAGTACTAAAATGTTTTCTGAATTGACCCTGCTCGATAGGTTCATAGAAATCGAGCTTATGTGTTAGCTCTACTTTTAGATTTTTAAAATCACTTTTTTAATACATATAAAGATATTGTTGACCTAGTGCTTAAATTGAATCGTAGGTGCGACTAAAAATGGAATGTTGATTAATTCTATTTTTGATTCTACGATTGATTTGGCCTGTGTACCATCGGGGAGTCGGAACAAGCAAATTTATAAACTCCGAAATTCTTATTCTCTCCGAAATTTATAAACGAAAGGCGAACTTTTAGAACAAATATTGAAAGGACAAGTAAAATGTCCAAGTTGTAAATCCTGCCCCCAATTCGACTGTTTAGGTACATAACCCACATGTATTAGAAAGAAATGAAGCAATACAAAACACTGTAAGATGAACTATATGTTTCTACGTTCTGTGAAATTCTTAAAATAATTTCTTTCATTACATGAGATAAATTTGAAGAATACAGTGGTTAATTTGTATACATATCAAAGGGTCGTGTAGTATTGTAAAAATATATAAAACAAAAATTTTTGTTTTATTTATAACTTTTTTCTGCGTTCATAAATTTCCTCCCAAGCCTCATCTGAATACAATATCTCAAACCGCGAACGTATTTATTATTATTAATTGGTCGACAATTAATTAAAATAAGGGATAGAATGGGTCTCGACCGATGGAAAGGGACTTTCCCACTAAGTATGACAAATGACCTTCTCTCGGTTTGTAACACGTAAAGAATTTTAAGTCTGCTAATTTTAGCATTTCCTCTTCGTGATGTTGTTCCTTAACACAAATTTTGTATAATCTGTTGTAAAAACAAGTATTTTTTTTTCCACAAGATAATTAGGAATGAGAAAAATTTCATAATTATTATGTAAAAATATACCATATGTATGGAATAAATTCATTTTTAGCTTTAATAAGTACTATATAAAAAAAACCTGAAACAGGTCGATTTTTATTCTTAAATTGACAATTTACAGTATGAAAATATTATACCCCTCCAGCATCCCCTTTGAATTATAAGCACCCCCTCGAAAATTTTAAATTACAGCGGGGGTCGTATGGCACCTAGTTAGAAAGGGATTTTAATCCTCTGTTCAGCAATATAGATTTTTTTAAGTTTGGTGAAATTATAACTGAAAAAGTTGATTTTTAAAATGTAAAATTTGATACTGTCTCTATCACAAAAGTTTGGGTCGAATGAAGATAATAATGTCACATAATATTTAAAATGTATTTTTCAATGTAGTTTACAATTAAATTAAATGTTTAAAATGACCACTATCCACTTCTTGACAATACCGAAGGCGATTTTGGAATTCTCGTACATTTTGTACGACTCCGGGAGATATTTTGTTAGTATCTTCCGTTATCCTAACTTTTCAATCAGCAATACTGTTTGGCCTATTAAAATATACTTTAGATTTTAAATAACCCCATAAGAAGTAATCGAGAGGAGTCAAATCGGGGCATCTAGCTGGCCAGTTGATCGTCCCACGTCTTCTAATCCACCTATTGGGAAAAACCTCGTTTAAATAATTTCTAATTATATCGCACCCTTAGTGCAAGACTGCAGTAAGTCAGAACAAGTGAGGTTCGAGATAAAGACGATTTTGTTTATTTTCGTGCTAATATCGGTGAAATATGACACAAGTTTTAAGAAAAATTAACCTTTAATTATAATTTTGCATGCTTTTTAGCCTATATTACATTCACCAAAAATAAAAATTTAAATAAACTAATATTAATGCTAACAAAATAGGAATTTCAATATGTTACAACACTTTTGCACGGAGAAAATTATAAAAAGTGTGGACACATTTTCTGTTAGTTCTTGTCCTCTTCTCGTATCTCATCTTGGGCCAAAATATTTTTATAAAAACTATGGTGGGCTTCTAGTATAATACCCGAATGGCAATAAATTATCGGGTAAGTAAAGAAAAAATAATCCTTAACAGCAAACGGGGTTTAGTATGGTATTAAACTTTACATTTAATAGATTCCAAGAAATCAGATAGCTACGTAGAATAAATAGGTACCTAATAAAACGGCTTATCGCTAACGGCAATTATCTCTACATATGTTTCTGATAGCCACAATTCTTTGGATTTGTAATGACAATGGCATAACAGGGTAGAAAAATTATTTGTAAAACTTTCAAATTTTTTTATGTAAATTTAAAACAAAAGGACTAATAAAAGTATGCAAGTCAGGCTACCTTGAGTACAGTGATTAACAAAATGATTAAAATTCACTACCTTAGTAAAAGTTGGAAATTACGCGGGGACAATATGATAAGACAATCGCCCCGGAAGGTTACATGAAAATTTTTGGGATTTTGTTTTTCTATAACGAGTTTTCTCAGATTAGATAATTTTAACCTGTCAGTATTGTTAATACGCAAGTTTTAAGATAATTGTTTTTTCTTTCATAAGAGAAGATACTTTTTGGCTGTAAATAATTAGTCTTAATTTATGTGTTTTTAATCCATTCTAATAAATGAATGGTCAAACGACATCGCACACATTTTATGGAAAATATAATGTCACACAAAGGGCATACATGAATAGATTGGTCTTATAAATATTTGTTAATTGTCTCGGCCATTAATGGATTACGTAGACATGCTGTATATTAAAATTAAAAACCACATATATAGATATTTAAAATAACAAATAAAATACTTTTTTCCTGTCTTTAATTGCTTGGTATTGAAACCATTGCAATTTTCCGTGCAAAACTGTTGTATCTCTGTTACATTAGAATCACAACAGTTTTGCACGGAACTTATGTACAAAAACGGTAAATGGTTAAACTGTTGTTGTTGTAATATTTATAAGGTTAAGTATTTGAAAGTTACCCAAGTTTTAC